AGTGGCTGTATGACTTTGGGCAAGAACCTTAATCTCTCTGGTCTCCCATTGCGGGAGATAACATTATCTCTTACCTGAAGACAGGGATGGTTGCATGACCTTCTTCCTGTCCCTTCCAGCACTGAGACTCTTCTAACTTCTCCACTTCTGCCTCCTCCCCCTCACAGACCTAAGCCCCATGCCCTGGGTAAAGGGGGAGCCACCTCCCATTTGTGCCCCTGCCATCTCGGCCTTGTGTGGAGGACAGACGGCACAGAGGGCAAGAGTCTAATCCCCCGAGGTCAAAAAATCCCATGTAGAACCAGACGCAGTAGTGCATGCCTGTAGTCCCAGCTGCTCTGGAGGCTGAGGCGGGAGGATCACTTGAGCCCAGGAGTTCAAGGCTGCAATACTCTATGATCTCACCACTGCACTGCAGCTTGGGTAGCAGAGCAAGAACCCATTTCCCCCCCCCAAAAAAGAAAGAAAAAAAAAATCCCATGCCCACCTTAGCTCTAGTGCCCTGTGGGTCTCCCAGAAAAATGAAGGCCGGGACAGGGAGATCTTATAGTGAAGTCCTCCCGGCTGGCCAGCCTCTCAGCCTGCATGCACCCGCTAGAGCTGCTCCAAGCAGGACCTGAAGAATCCATTTCCAGTCCGGTCTGGCCAGGCTACGCCTAGTCCCCGCTGACAGAGGTGTTGGCACACAGACTCCTGTGCCCATTCCCCCAGTCCTCCCTACACTGGCCCTGCCTCCCAGAAAGTCATGGCTGGCCAAGGCCTGCATGAAACGTTTACTGCATCTCTGAAGCATCTCCCCCTTCAGTAAAGAAATTGGGGCATTGGTTTGTGTCTTTTTTTTTTTTTTTTTTTTTTTTTTTTTTTTTTTGAGACAGTGTTGCTCTGTCACCAGCCTGGAGTGCAGTGGCACGATCTTGGTTCACTGCAACCTCCATCTCCTGGGTTCAAGCGATTCCCCTGCCTCAGCCTCCTGAGTAGCTGGGACTACAGGCACCTGCCACCATGCCCGGCTAATTGTTTGTATTTTAGTAGAGACGTGCTTTCACCATGGTCAGGATGGTCTCGATCTCCTGACCTAGTGATTCTCCCACCTCGGCCTCCCAAAGTGCTGGGATTACAGGCATGAGCCACTATGCCCGGCCTGGTTTGTGTCTTTCAAGAGTTCCAAGTACCACCCTTAATGTCATGCAACAATGCATACAAAGGAAATGCATGGTATATATCAATGATCGCTGAGCCACTCCGAGTCCCCGGGATGGAGATATCTCAGGACGGGGCCTGGAAGCTACCATCAGGCAGACCTGCATGAAAGCAGCTAGATCCTGTGACTTCCACCTTACCTTCTGGGCAGAGAAGGTATAGGAGGAAGACAAAAATGCAGACTGCAGCTGGGGCTTCCAGGTCTAAGAATCCTTTGCCTTGACCAAGCTGCAGACCTCCTGAGAGAGGGCAGGCCCCATTCCTTAAGCCCTGCAGAGCTGGGAGTGAGAAGCTTTGAGGAGGCTGGTCACCCCAAAATAAACTTGTTTTTTTTCACAACTTCTTCATGAGGCATTAGCATCTCTTGCAGCATGGGAAAAAAATAGCCTGAACTGTTAACAAATAAAGATTATAAAAAGCCCCAACTGTTCCCCATGGGTTTCCATGTGGCTGCAGTATTTAGAGGGGGCAGAGGGAGTATGTGTCCAGGAGCCGCCTGTCTCTCCTCCTCTGATCCACCTCTCTCCCTCTGTAGTTGGTTCTGCTCACAGGGATAACAGTTGATGTCAGGGATGAGAAAGTTATTTGTTGACCTTCATAAGTGATCCACTGCGCATGCGTATTCTTGTTTACTGCTTCCAGATAAAGGAGTACGTGGAACAGAACAGGCTCCGTCAAAACATGATCATATTGCGATGAGGCTGGTTTCAATGAAGTTATCTGACTGAGGGTGCAGAATCTGTGTAGTAAACACTTGGAATTCTTATCAAGGTCAGCTAAACTTGAACTTTGACCCTTCCCTTGGTCATTGCTGGATGTCAGTAACTAGAAATGAGTTTAGGGTTGTAGTTGCTTTAGATCCAGCTTAAAGGATTACCAGGGGCCACCTGGGAGGGGCTGTGGTTCTTGTCTGTGTTCTGCGTTACTCTTGCAGAGTTCCAGGCTGGACCCTGACGAGCTATCCCCCGTACCCTCTGCCTTCTGGGTACATGGATCCCCAAATGACAACACAAGCCAGAGAATGGTGTCAAAACCCTTGAGTGGAGTCAGGAGCTGAGTTCCTGTCCCTGTGGGGTCTTCAGGAAAACAGGTCATTGGCCTGGATGATACCTGAGGAGTCTCTGGCCCTGACTTTTTATAGCTGGAAGAAGAGAACACTCCTCAACCCTTCAGGGCTCTGTGTTCTCCACCAGACTCATTCATCCCTGGAAGACCCCTCTAGCCCATCTTCGCAGGTCCCTCCTTCCCCCTCCTTCCCTCCTCTCTTCTCTTCTTCCCTTTTGTTTATCTGTCCTATCCTTTCCCCACTTCCTGAGCAGAGATTTCTATAAAAATAAATACACGTGGCTCTGGCTTGGACAGCTTACAAATGAGCAGGCTAGGACAACCAGATCCCCAGGGGCCTTGGTGGGCAGTATTCAAGCCTGGATGGGCCCTGAGTGGATGAGGACAGGGAATGCTGGCCAGAAGTTTCCTGAGGTGGTGACAGTGATGGAAAACCCACAGGGTGGCTGCTGTGGCCTCTGGTCTTCTCTGGACCCACAGCCCTCTCTCAGGCTCCCATCTGCCCAAGTTAGCAGCCACCTCTGAGCTCACCGAAGGGGAATCCCACCCCCTCCAGAGTGATCATTTTTAAGCTAAGAAGAGAAAAAGGGCTTGGGTGGAGAATACTGAGAGTCCATTCTGACTCGTCACAGCCAAAGCATTGTTCTGCAGGACATGGCTATTCCCCCTGACACAGTTTCTGACCCTTCCACGAGGCATGAAGTGAGGTGCGGGGAGGCAGGCAGGCAGGCCAGACCACGGGCAGCTGGCACAGGTTCCGGAGGGGAAGGAGCCGATGCTGAGCTGGAAGCTTTCTGTGGAACAGGCTGGACCCCAGATGGCCTGGGATGCAGGGGCCTCGGCTGAGTGGCAGGGACCACAGGACACATGGTTCAGGGTCCCTCAAAGACCACTAAACACACACCTCAACCTTCTGGTTGTCTGTGCCTCACCATATGCCTGGAAACATTGATTCTGAGTCACATAATCTTCCTCCCAACCCACCCTCTCTTCCTCCTCCTTCTGGGAGGCGCCGGCAGAGAGCCCCCTGGCAGCTGCTGCTGGAAGCCTGGCTGGAGGAAGAGAGTCTCCCTAGAGGAGACTCATGCATCGCCACCTCTGCAAAGCTTCACAGCGGCCATCCCTTCACAGATGCAGAACTGATGCCCAGAGAGCTGGGGACTGAGAGGTGTCAAGTCCAAGGTCCAGCCACAATGGCCTGCCTGCAGGCTGCCTCCCAGCTCCAGGCCCGCAAGGTGGTGGTGGGGGGTGCGGTTATGGAGGGCAAAGGTGGCATGGGGGCACCAGCAGCCCTTCCGGGACAGAATACACCTGACTTGTCTGTGCAGCACCCCGAGTCCCCTTGCTTAACTTGGCTTCCCCTTTTCTCTGGAAAATGTGAGGCTCCTTTGGTCTCCCTTCATTGATCCTTTCCTTTTTTCATTTATCAAATAATACATGGTAAACTCTTTTTTTCATTTATCAAATACATGGTAAATTCTTGCTAGTGCCAGACCCTGTGCAAGAGATGGTGAGGATGATAAAATGATGATACACTACCCTGTGGTCAAGGAGCTGAGTTTAATAATAATAATTCTAAATACCTTGTTGAGTGTTTATGTCATGTCCGGGGTTGTGCTGCATGTACTACTTTATTTAAATTTCAAAACAATCCCATGAGATGGAGGAACTATTCTTATCGCCACTTGGCAGAGAAGGAAACCGAAGCTCTGAGAGGGGATGTGAATTGTCAGGGCTGGAAAGCAGGTGGGCAGGGTGAGGGTTCTCAGCAGGTGGCTGGCTCAGCACAGCACAGCCCTGAGCCCTCGTGCCTAGCCCGTTATTCTTCATTTATGTCAAAATCACCCTCTTTATCTTACAGTTGAGCAAACTGAGGTCTACACAAAGTCACGACTAGTTTGCAGTTGCGACAGACCCCTGTGCTCCAGTTCTGATGCCAGATTTGACCTCTGGCCTTCAGTTTCCTCTTGTTTGCCTGAACCTCGGCAGTTTCCTTAGATGAGCCCTAGGTTCTGATATTCTGATGGCATGATGTCATCCTAAGATGTGTTAGAGAGACAGAACAGAGAAGCAGGAAGATCTCAGCTGAAACTAGCCCCAGAGCCCTACCCTGTCCACAGCCACCCCAGGGGACCATCCTTGCCCAGTAGGGAGTTAAGAATGTGGAAATATGGCTAGATACATGGCTCACAGCCTGTAATCCCAACACTTTAGGAGGCCGAGGCCGGTGGATTGCCTGAGGTCAGGAGTTCAAGACCAGCCTGGCCAACATGATGAAACCCTGTCTCTACTAAAAACACAAAAATTACCCTGGCACGGTGGCACACACCTGTAATCCCAGCTACTTGGGAGGCTGAGACAGCAGAATCACTTGAACCCAGGAGGCAGAGGCTGCAGTGAACCAGATCGCACTATTGCACTGTGATGTGCCTGACAGAGGGAGACTCCATTTCAATTAAAAAAAAAAAAAAAAAAAGAAAAAAAGAAAAGAAAAGAAAAGAGAAAAGGGGGAAGGAGCAGCAGGACAACAGAGATGCTGGAGAGCACTCTTCAGCTGGGGAGGGGCAGGAGATAGCGTAGGCATGAGGGCAGAGATGGCCCTGTGTCACAAGCTGTTCCTGTACTCCTCTTGGCCAGTGGTCCCTCTGGTGGAGAGAATTGAGTGGGTTACGGGGGGTGGGGTGCAGTGTCATCTACTTGATTTCGGGGGCCTTCCCTTCTGTCCTGGCCAGGCTCGCAAGGAGAAAGTGGCATCCAGGCCTGTTGCTGGCACATGGCGACTGCAGAGACTCCTCCTGGACACCCTCATGATGGGAGGAAGCCCTCCGCGTCCTGGCCCAGCTCTGGCTGCCCCAGTTTGCTGCTGGGCCTTGACGGGTAAGATGCCTGGTTGCTGATCGCACCCAGCCCTCATACTGCCGTCACACGCCCCTCCATTGGAAGAGATCTCATTCTGAGAAGTGGAAATTGTGCAGTGCTGTGAGTGACCAGGTGAAGATAGGTTAGAGAAGCCAGGACTTGGAGCTTCCTCTTTTCCCTGGGCACAGAGCGAGGGCCCAAGGATTGTAGCCTTACCTGCCACCTCACCTCTGGGGCTCCGCTGGCCTTTCACTATTCTCTGTCCTGAAGCAGTGTCCTGGGCCAGGTCTGTGGGAAGAAACAACACAAGAGTTTTAAGGGCTGGGATCCAAAGTCCAGCTTATGGGAAGGCAGGGGAGGGACATGATTCCTGCATCGCAGGGTGTGACCAGGGGCCTGGGTTCCTTGTCAGTTCCCTCCTCCTCCAGGGCTGTGCAGAGCCCAGAGATAAACCACTTAGACGGCAGGCCCTGCTCCGTCTTCGGCCAGGTGAGCACTGTTGATGCCTGGCGCAGCCTCTGGCCCTCAGGGCCCTGTTCTGTCCACCTTGAGCTCTTATTATCCTGGCCGGTCCTTCTCAGCCCCGGTGACTCACACTGCTTTGGAATTTCACTCACTGGCGTTTCTGACGCACATCTTGAGAGCCTGGCCTGCAGCCAGGGAACAAGCTATGGCTTCAGCCCCACTGGTAATTAATTCTGGCTACCCAAGCTAGAGGCCACGGTGGCTGGGGAGAGGGAAGGCCGTGAAGAAGCAAGGTAGGGGTGGTTGCTGGTCGATGGGAGGAGACTTTGTTCTCGCTTTTGCTCACCTGCACGCAGGTGGAAAACAACAGAAAAGCTATCAGCTCTCAGAGGCCAGACATCCGGGGCTGGTCCGCCAGGACACACATGAAGCAGGAGTGACCTAGTGTAAAATCTAGACTAGCCACTGTGCTGCTTGGAGCGGATTTCTGAATCTTAGTTTCCTTTATATTTTTGTGAGTCCTATACGTTTGATAGCTTCCGCTTTGGAATGCTAAGGACCTGTGCACTGGGTTGATCGTGCCTCCGTTTCACTCCAGATGGCGGGAGCTCTGTTCTTTCTCCATTTTCAATACATTGTGAGGCGCTGGCGCTGGATAGAATTCTGGAGAAGAGAAGAGAGAAGGAAAATTGCCATAACAGTGCACAGGGGTGCCAGGTGCAGTGGCTCACACCTGCCATCCAAGCACTTTGGGAGGCTGAAGTGGGTGGACCCTTTGAGCCCAGGAGTTCAAGACCAGTCTGGGCAACATGGCAAAACCCCATCTCTACAAAAAATGCAAAAAATTAGCCAGGCATGGTAGCCCATGACTGTAGTCCCAGCTATCTGGGAGGCTGAGGTGGGAGAATCACCTGAATCCAGGAAGTTGAGGCTGCAGTGAGGCACTGCACTCCAGCCTGGATGAAAAGAGTGAGACCCGGTCTCATTAAAAAAAAAAAAAAAAAAGCAATGTGCTGGACTGGAAATTGAAGACCTGGATTCATTTCCAGAGTGCCATTTCCTGGCAACCCCCTACCAGGTACCTCATCAGTGAAATATGAAAGAGGGGGAGAGGGAGAGAGAAAGAGTGAGAGAGAGGGAGAGAAGGAGGGAGAGGAGAGAGAGTCCACCATCCTCGCAGCGTCCCCTCCCATGGGTCTCTGATGTTCGCTGTAGTCACTGGCAGAGACCCGTGGTTCTCCACTCCTCTAGAAGGCAACTGCTTTTCCCACTGCTCACCTAATTGTCCTTGACCTCCTTCCTCCTTCCAGCCTCCCAGGCTTGAGGGGTCCCAGCCTCGCCCTGGCACCGCTAGCGCCTCTGTTTAGAAGGGCTTTGTGCCACCTGCTGGACTGACCCCTGTGGGTGCACTGGTGGGTAGGTCAGAGGAGATCCTGAGTGGGTTCTAGGAACAATGCTCTGGCCAGGCGCGGTGGCTCACGCTTGTAATCTCAGCACTTTGAGAGGCCCAGACAGGCGGATCACAATGTCAGGAGCTCGAGGCCAGCCTGGCCAACACAGTGAAACCCCGTCTCTATAAAAATACTAAAATTAGTGGGGTGCGGTGGTGGGCGCCTGTAATCCCAGCTCCTTGGGAAGCTAGGTCAAGAGAATTGCTTAAACCCGGGAGGTGGAGGTGGCAGTGAGCCATGATTGTGCCACTGCACTCCAGTCTCAGTGACAGAGCTAGACTCCCTCTCAAAAAAAAAAAAAAAAAAATCGCAATGAAACAATGCCCTTATGTGTAACTCCAGCCTGAAGAGTGACTCCAGGCGGCCTGAAAAGTGACTCCAGGCAGAGGAACAGCTGGCCAGGTCAGGGGCGTTGGAGTGTCTGTGAAGACACACCCTGAGGTCTGGTCAATCCTCTACTTTCAGGTTGGGCAGGTCTGGCTGGGAGTGTTCTGTAGGGAATGCTGGAAAAGCATGTGCTTCCAGCCCTCTGTCGCACCTTCCTCCCTCTTAGCCGCACCCCACCCATGTTAACCAAGATCATTTGGGAAGATCAAAGGAGTAAGGGGTTGGGGGTTAGAAAATGAGTCTGGGTCTCTGATTCTATAGCAATGACTGTAACAGATTTTTTTTTTTCTAAATTGGAAACACTTTTTATTTTATTTTATTTTATTTTTGAGATGGAGTCTTGCTCTGTTGCCCAGGTTGGAGTGTAATGGTGCGATCTTGGCTCACTGTAACCAGTGCCTCCCAGGTTCAGGCAATTCTCCTGCCTCAGCCTCCTGAATTGCTGGGATTACAGGCATGGGCCATGACACTCAGTTAATTTTTGTATTTTTAGTAGAGATGTGGTTTTGCCATGTTGGCCAGGCTGGTCTCGAACTCCTGACCTCAGGTGATCTGTCCACTTCGGCCTCCCAAAGTGCTGTGCTGGGATTCCAGGCATGAGCCACCATGCTTGGCCAGAAACACCCTTAAAAAGACAACACATATCATGATCAGGTGGGTTTAAGAGTCTGGAATCTCAAGTCTGTCTGTCTGGGTTTAAGTTGAAAATGCTCCACTTCCACGTTTTGAATATGTCTCATGTTTCCTTCTGCCATAGTCATTAACATATTTAAATGATGTAATATACGGTGCACAATACACATATCTAAGTCATAAGACACAATAAAGACCCAACCAACCATGAAACTTTACACGTATTACACAGTCAATACACTGCGTGGTTGAAGCTACCCCTGTGGGGTGACTTCCGATCCCTCCCTCCGACCTCGCCAACAGAGGCAGCCCCTGTTCTGTATTTTGTGCTTGTCATTTATTTGATGGTGATATCTTCTTTGAAGATATTTTATATCATATTATGTGGGCACCCCAAAGTCATATACTCTTTAGGTCGGCTTGTTTTTAAGTTTTAAGAAACTGTATTATACTATATGTACAACAGCTTTTGGGGCTGTTTTTTTTTTGCACTCAGCCTTGCATTACTAAAAGCTGGTCACATTGATATGAGTAGCTGTGGTGGCTTCATTCCCATTGCAGTGTAAGATTCCATGGCACTGGGTGCAGTGGCTCATGCCTTGGGTAATCCCACCACCTTGGGAGGTGAAGTAGGGAGGATCACATGAGCCTGGGAGTTCAAGGCCAACCTGGGCAACATAGTGAGACCCCATTTATACAAAAAATAAAAATTAGCCAAGCGTGGTGGCCCATGCCTGTAGTCCTAGCTGCTTAGGGGGCTGAGGTGGGAGGACCACTTGAGCCCGTGAGGCTGAAGCTGCAGTGAGCTGTGATTGCACCATTGCACTCCAGCCTGGGTGACAGAACAAAACTCTGTCTCGAAAGAAAAAAACAAAAAAAGATTTTGTGGTGACAGCATAGTCTTCTGCTGTCCAGTTTTTGCTGACAACTGCTTCTTTGAATATTCTTTTTGAGTTTTTTGTTTGCTTGCTTGCTTTTTGTTTTGTTTTTTGAGAAGGAGTTTTACTCTGTTGCCCATGCTGGAGTGCAATGGCATGATCTCGGCTCACTGCAAACTTCACCTCCTGGGTTCAAGCAATTTTCCTACCTCAGCCTCCTGAGTAGCCGGGATTACAGGTGCCTGCCACCATGCCCAGCTAATTTTTATATTTTTACTAGAGACGAAGTTTCACCATGTTGGCCAGGCTGGTCTTGAACTCTTGACTCTAGGTGATCTACCTGCCTTGACTCCCCAAAGTTCTGGGATTACAGGCATGAGCCATGGCGCCCGGCCTCTTTTTTTTTTTCTTTTTTTTTTGAGACGGAGTTTCGCTCTTGTTACCCAGGCTGGAGTGCAATGGCGCGATCTCGGCTCACCGCAACCTCCGCCTCCTGGGTTCAAGCAATTCTCCTGCCTCAGCCTCCTGAGTAGCTGGGATTACAGGCACGCACCACCATGCCCAGCTAATTTTTTTTGTATTTTTAGTAGAGACGGGGTTTCACCATGTTGACCAGGATGGTCTCGATCTCTTGACCTTGTGATCTACCCGCCTCGGCCTCCCAAAGTGCTGGGATTACAGGCTTGAGCCACCACGCCCGGCCAACCCGGCCTCTTTGAATATTCTTGCGCTTGTCTTCAAGTACACGTGTTAAAGCCTTTCTCATTCGATAAATACCTAGAATTGTAATTGCTGGGTTACAAGGTAGGCATATGATCAACTGTATTAGCTAATACTCAAGTGTTTTCACACTCGAGTATAAAGCAGCTAGAACACCAGCAGTTTATAACAGCACATTCTTACCTCCCCTTGACTTTTCAGATGTCAACTTTGCCCTCTCTGTTGGGTACAGAATGGCACCTCAGTTGTGATATTGTGTGTTCCTCTGATTGCTAACAAGGTTGAGCGGATATTTTCATGTGTTTTAATATATTTGTGTTTCTTCTTCTGTGTGATACCTATTCGTGTCCTGTGCCCATTTTTTGTACATTTTGTCATTTTTAAAATATCACTGATTCGTCAGGGTTATTTATATATTCTAGGACTAATCTTTTTCTAATTATATGTATGAATAATATCTTCTCCAGGGATATCACTTTCTTTA